CCCCAGGTGGGCACCCTTCCCTCCCCCAAGAGTAGAGACTTTTTAGGTGGAGAGGGGGGCTCTGGCTGGAGGATCTTGCCTCCCCCCAGAGCAGGGGCCACCCGTGGGTGGGGGCTGACCACCTTTCTCTCTGCAGGGGTGTCGGTGCCTTTGCAGCTGGGCTTGCCGGACACCATTCCGCCTCAGTACGGGGCCTTGAAGGAAATGAGCATCCACACCGTCCGGGCCAGGCTCCGGCTGCTCTACCACTTCTCTGACCTCATGTACTCCTCGTGGAGGTTGCTGAACCTGAGTCCCAACAATCAGGTGAAGCTGCTGCCTCTGTTGTGAAGTTAAATCTCTGCTTTTACACACACACACACACACACACACACACACACACACACACACACACACACACGTCCCAATGCACAGATGCCTCCCAGGAAACCTCGCTCAGACCTTTGACAGCCTCACTGATGCAGTTGGACTTTCCACGAGGCAAGATGGTGGCACAGCATCCGATGCTGCCAGCTTTGGGGGCTCCCCTGCTCAAGGAGTCGCCTCAAGCGTCTGCATTGCCAGAGAGGGGGAACATTGCCCCTGCAGACGTGCTGGCCCAGCCGATGTGGCTGAGAAAGGGAGGGTGGGCACCGGTCCTCAGCCATCTGGAAAGCCCAGACCCGGATGGGGAACGGAGGCTTTGGGGGGCCTGTGAGGGGGGTGAGGAAGTCCGTGGCCCTGCTCCACGGTGAGGCTAACTTTTGAACCCAGTCTTGTGCTGGTGGCCCTTTCCAGAGCTCCCCTTTGCCCTCCGAGCGGCTCCGTCTTGGGTAAAGCTTTCGGCCTTCCTCTTGTTACAGAACAGCACGTCCCACTACAATGCCGGCACGTGGGGGATCGTCCAAGGGCAGCTGAGGCCGCTACTAGCGCCCCGAGTCTACACCCTGCCCATGGTCCGCTCCATTGGGAAGACAATGGTTCAGGGGAAGAACTACGGCCCCCAGATCACGGTCAAGAGGATATCCACCAGGTCAGCCTTTTGGGCCCAGGCAGCTGGCTGCAAGCGGGGCAGTGCATTGTTCTGGGCGGCTGATCTCACCTTCCTCTCCTCCAAGGGGTCGGAAGTGCAAGCCCATCCTGGTGCAGATCGCACGGCAAGTGGTGAAGCTGAATGCCTCCGATCTTCGGCTGCCCTCTCGGGCCTGGAAGGTGAAGCTGGTTGGGGAAGGCGCCGATGACGCCGGGGGCGTCTTTGATGACACCATCACGGAGATGTGCCAGGTACTGCAGGATTCCAGGAGGCTGGGTGGCATTGCTCCCCTTTCAGCTGCCCCTCTGATTGCTGGGGTACACCTGGTCCCTGAAAAGGGAACGAGGACAAGACTAGATAGTAGGCACTTTCCTCCTCCTCCTCCTCCGAGGCCAAAATGGAGGTAACGGGCCACACCTTTGCTCTCACTGATTAAAATTCTGGAGTAGGATATAGATATAGCATGATAAGCATTTTATTATGGGTCTAGTGATGCCAACGGCCGGTACTTCTGAAGCTGCTCCCCAGGGCTTCCTCCACACTAACAGGGCTGTTCAGAGCAGTCCAGCATCTGGGCAGCCTGCAACCAGCAATGCCAGCTTAGAGAAAAGGATAGAAAACATTTGCTATATGCCAGGTTCCTAAATGTAGGTTGGTTGTTAGGAATTCATGGTTAGGGAGACGGGAAAGAGTGGGAGTTCCTGAGTGCTGCTCTCAGAAAGGAACAGATGCAGCTGTCTTCTTGCTGTTAGTGGACTTGCTTTTCAGAGCCATTTAATAATTCAAAAAACCTTTTTTTCCCCTTAATTCATAAGGAACTTGAAACTGGAATTGTAGACTTGCTGATTCCTTCCCCAAACGCAACAGCTGAAGTTGGCTACAACAGGGATCGGTAAGTTTACCGGTTCCCTTCTGAGCCAATGAGGGCTTCTGACCAATTCCAGACAAGAGGGAGATTTTGTAAACCTATTTTGGAGTTTATGCCTCTTTGGAAGGTGGGCCAGGAGTGGACAGATCCCTGCGGCCTGGTTGGTCCAGCGCCATTTGCCAGAAGCCCCTGGTGACCCCATCCCCTCCCTCGCCCTCTTCCTGCCCGCTGGCTCCACAGGGGAGAAAGGGGCCCAGCCGCCAGGCCCAGACTCGGGCAGCCCATCTGTCTCCTGGCTCTTCCTTGGAGGGTTTGCAGTTGGTGCTCTCTGTGCAAAGGAAGCTTCTGCCTGGCCATAGAACTTGGGGTCTGTCCCTGGGGAATTGGGGATCTTGTCTCTGGTGGTGATCTAGGGGTGCTTGTGGGCCAATGGCGGTCTTTTGTGTCTTGCCAGGCTTCTCTTGAACCCCTCGGCCTGCCTGGAGGAGCACCTGGTGCAGTTTAAGTTCCTGGGCATCCTGGTGGGTGTGGCCATCCGCACCAAGAAGCCCCTGGATCTCCACCTGGCCCCCATGGTCTGGAAGCAGCTCTGCTGCATCCCACTCATGTTGGAGGACTTGGAGGAGGTGGACCTCCTCTGCGTGCAAACCCTTAACGGCATTCTTCACATTGAAGATAGCGGCATCACCCAGGAGAACTTCCACGAGGTGAGGGAGCCGCCGGTAGCGCACCAAGGTCCCCACGCTGATGGCCACTGCCAGGCCCAGCATCGGTTTCCTGACGAAAGTGGTCTGGAGCTCTTCCCAGTTGAACCTTTTGGGAGAGTGTGAAGGGGGAGGGTCACCAGAAGGGGCTTTTCCTAGGAGTTGGGGGCTGAAGGGGCCTGTTAACGGGAAAAGCAGGGCCAAGCAGTGCAGGGACAAAGAAGCAAAACTGCCACTTTGCAAAGTGCAGCCAAAAAACCAACTTGATTTCTTTCCTGTTAGATGATTCCTTTAGATTCCTTTATTGGCCAGAGTGCCGATGGCAAAATGGTGCCCATCATCCCCGGTGGGAACAGCATCCCCCTCACCTTCTCAAACCGGAAGGAATACGTGGAAAGAGCCATTGAGTACCGGCTACATGAAATGGATCGCCAGGTAACGGTCCAGTACAGTCGGTTAATCTGGTGAAGCTCAGAAGTGTCTCTGCTTTGTTTGGGGGCCTCACTTGGAGCAACGAAAATGAGGGTTCGTTTTACCCTCGTGTTCCATTTCAGCATACTGGAAAGAACATGGTTTATAGGCTCCACCCCCAAGATGGAAATATTAATCCTGATTTCCAGTTTGTCCCCAAAGATGACTTGTCCCTGCCTGCCTTCCTCCCTCCTGCCCATTTGGGCCTTAGAGGGTCTTCCCCGCCGCTGAGCTTCTGCTCACCTTGCAGGTGGCCGCAGTGCGGGAAGGGATGTCCTGGATCGTGCCGGTGCCTCTGCTGTCCCTGCTGACTGCCAAGCAGCTGGAGCAGATGGTCTGCGGCATGCCCGAGATTTCGGTGGACGTCCTGAGGAAGGTGGTGCGCTACCGCGAGGTGGACGAGCAGCACCAGCTGGTCCAGTGGTTCTGGCACACGCTGGAAGAGTTCTCCAACGAGGAGCGGGTCCTTTTCATGAGGTTTGTGTCCGGAAGGTCTCGCCTGCCTGCGAACACAGCGGATATTTCTCAGCGGTTCCAAATCATGAAGGTCGATAGGGTAAGTTGGCACTTCTCCCCCTCCCGGTTGCTCCCCTGCCTGATCAGAGAGATGCCGAGGGGCCCATTGCCGCCCTGGCAGCCGAAAGGATGGCCTGTAGTCCCCCCACTGAGCCTGAAGGGCTACTTGCTAGGCAGCTGAGCAGGCCCCGAGACTCTCTGGCTCTGCATGGAAGGCCACCCCTGGGCGGGAGAGGAGAGGGAGCCCTGCAAGTGGAGCAGGTGGGCCTTGGGGGGGGGGGTGAGAGGGTGGGGCCCAGTCAGGGGCTATAGCAAAATTGCAACGGCCAGGAGCAGTGAATGCTGGATCTCAAAGAGAACGGCTGAGCCAATTTGTTAAACTGGGGACCCTGAGCTTAGTCAAGGGCCCACCCACCAACATTCCCCTACCCGCTTTGTGAGGTCCAGGAGGTTTGGGGAGGCCCCACTTTTGATGAGTGGACTTCCCCACCCCACCCCATCTGGCCTAACCTGCCCCCCTCCTGCTTTCTTCCGGACAGCCTTACGACAGCTTGCCTACCTCACAGACCTGCTTCTTTCAACTGCGCCTCCCACCCTACTCCAGTCAGCTCGTCATGGCGGAGCGTCTGCGCTATGCAATCAACAATTGCAGGTCGATCGATATGGACAATTATATGCTGTCCCGAAACGTGGACAATGCCGAGGGCTCCGACACAGACTATTAACTGTGGACAAAAATCCTCCCTCTCCCTCCCTCCCTCCCAGAATGCCCACACCAGATTTCAGTGCTGACATGGTTTTACAGTAAAGATAGATGTTTTAGGAACATAAACAGTGGCCACCTTTTTAGTTACTCTAAATGTAACAAGATTTAGATGTCTTTATTTTTTGTGACTGTAAGCAGAAAATGCAAAAAAGTGAGATCAGTAAAGTTTTCCCCTTTCCCCCCTTCTTTTTGTTCACTTTTGATAAGTTTGCATGGAGCCTTTCTGGTGCACTTTGTTGGGAATGGAGCCTTGTTTCCCTTTCCCAGTGAATCTGAAGAGCTGTACATTGTGTATAATTGTTCATTAGAAAGGACAGTTTTACATGAATATTCATATATTTATTTTTGTTTTAATTTGAAATGCCTGTGCAGGGTTCCTTATTCAAATAAAGCAGATTCAAGAAACAAATAGTTCTCTTCTTTAAGGATCTCTGATGATTATCCTTTTTGCGTGCTTTTATTTTTCTTGTTTGCTTTTAATTTTTACATTTTTGATTTTGCTCCCTTGTTTTTGCTCACAAGTGCCAAAATGAAACTGATCTTCCCAAGGAGGGAGGGAGGGAAGGAAGGAGGGAAGGAAGGAAGGAAGGTTATTTTATGTATAATAAATAATTTAGAGAACTATACATATGTAGAAAAATTAAGTCGGTATGAGTTGAGATATATGATTGTTGGATTTTAGTTGTGTTAAAAATGTAGCATGTATAACTAAAGGAGTATCTGAGGAAGGAAGGAGGGTACAAATATTGTCTTTTAATTTAGAAGCTCCATGTCCCAAAGTAATCCCTGCTAGTTTGAGAAATGGAACAGGCCACAAGTTCATCAAATGGTCTACTAAAAGGACAGTCTAAATTTTTGTTAGCAAACAGCCACTTTGCCACTTCCATGGCAGGTTTGAGTAGATAAGCTCCAGTACACGTTTTACATCTCTCTTGCAACACACACAGAATCTCAATCTGCAAACAGAAAGAACAGACTCCAGCTTGGCCGCTTGCTTGGCTAATGCCACAGCATTCTTTTGAAGCCTCTTTCCAAGGCCCAGACCCCTGGCCTTTTGTCCGGAATCATGTTTGCGCTTCTTTCTGCGCTGAGCACCAGGGACGGGCACATCTTCTGGACTCGCTGCACCCCAGCAGCTGTTATGTTTCTGCAAAAGTCCACGTGCAGAGTTTGTAAGGAATCGGCATGGAAAGCCACAGCTTCTAGGGTCTGGTCAGTGATCAGGACGCAATTTTCCAACTGGAGAGTCCGAAGACCCGGGCAGCTTTTGAGAAGCAGCACAATGGAATCGTCTGTGACGTGGCCACATCCAGAAAGCTTCAGAGACCGCAGGCTGGGGCACCTGAAAGTGGGAGCATGAAGGGTTACAAGGGGGAGGATGAGGGAAGTAAATTGGCCTCTTGCAGTGGAAGCCAGCCCTGCATCCTCTTCCTTCTCCCAGACTTCAGATCAACTCCTAAGCGCACGGGCGCACGCGCACACACACACACACACACACACACAGGCTTGTAAGGATTGTTTTGAATACTACAAAGCAAAAGGTCATGCCTGACTTGAGAGGGATGGTAAAGCCTGAACAGGATGAGAATTTATTCCATGTTCAGCACCTCAGAAGCTTTTCAGACTTCTCAAGAACTATTATGATTGCATCGTCTTCTGAGCAAATCTTAAATTAAGCAGAGAGAGAGATTAGCAGATCTGCTTCCTGTTTCACTCCTGGAGTAATTTCTCCTCCAGGCTATCGAGGATCAAGCGTATTTAGTTACATCTAAACCATAAAACAAGCTAAGTGGTTGTGTTGATAACTCACTGCATAAGGAAGTTTTCAATGAACAGAATTGATTACAGTTTACAATGTCATTTTTTGATTCATGATGTCTGTCCCAATACTTGTATTGTGCTTAGTTTAGTAGCAGTGATCAGCTTTTTAAAATAAAATTAATGAAACATATGAAAAATTACAACTGTTTTGACCCTTGTAAATTCCTTTTGACAAAAAATAGTTTTCATTGCCGTCCCTGCCCAGGATGAACACAAGTGTCACAAAGAAGACTGAGAGCTTCATCATTGACTGGGAGGGTTTTGCAGTCTCTTGTTCAGACCAGTGAAAGAGTTAAAGGCCGAGTCCCCAAAGTGAGGGAGCAGGAGGAGAAGGGGCTGAAAATCACGTGTCTCCAGCCAGGGGGCCAAGAGCCTCTGCTGAAATACGCTTGGAATGCCTGAGCACCGAGCAGCAGTTGGTGGCACAAGTGCAATGCGATTAGGACACACAGAACAAGCTTGTTTGAAAACTGAAATGCTTGATTTTACGCTTTTAACAATCCTTGAGGAGGGGGGACCTTCCTAGGGCACAGAAGTAGTTAAGGTGTGCCTGTAAACAAAACTGCTGTCTCATTTCTTGTGGGGGGCGCATCCAAAGCCATTCCCACAAGCAAGGCATAACCTAGGCTAAACCCACATATCGAGCAATATTTTTTCTTACCTGTTAGAAACCTGGAGTAAAAACTCATTCACCAGGTGTTTGTGTAGGCTGCAGATGTTCCTCTGAAGGTGGTTCTTCATCCAATCCTCCACGTTGCACACCTTGACTTGGCTGGAATGCCAGCAGATGGAAAGGTGCCGTAAGGCCGGTCCCAGGACAAAGTTGTCCTTGGTCAGTTCGGCCAGAGAGTGGAAGTGGAGCAAAGGCCACAGAGAGGCGTCCTGGAAGACCCTCCGCAGCCTGCGGCATGTCTGGGCCAAACTCTTCCGGCTGTTTTTGTCCAGGAAGGAGAAGAGGTGCAGGAGGCATTCCCAGTTCAGCTCCGTCAAACGCATCGCCCTCCGTGCCTGGGCAGCCAAGGCAGCAGGCTCACCACGAAGGGTTCGGGGCTTAATCAGCTTCCAAAGACTCCGGATCCCTTGCACAAATATGGTCTGGAATGGAAGCTATTTTTGGCTGCCAGCTGGGAGAGAAGTTTCCGAAAAAGACAAGGCACCAGCCTTCCTTTCGTGTCTCCCTGAGGAGGGAGCAGCATGGTCTTGCTTCAGCCAGTCTGGGCTTAAAAGGGCCAGTTGGCCACTTCTATGGAGAACTTGTCAGCTTCAGCTCAGGTCAATGGGACTCACTGAGAATCTAATTCAAGGGCAGAGAACCCCATCGACAGGAACAGGACTCGACTTTGGCGTATTTGTGCTGTCAACCAGAACTTCAAGGACATTGGGCTTCAAGAGTTCTCCAACCCTGGGCAGCTGTCACCAGCAAGGGAGAGCACACGGAGTGAGGCAGAGCAGGACAGACCCCTTGGGGCCCCTGGTCTCCAGGCCCTGCCCTGAGACTGCAGAAAAGGCAAGTCCTCTTTGGCGCTCACTTGGCGCAGCCTGCTGCTTTAAAGCCCGGGAGCCCCTTGGTTGGCGATGCCCCCATTTCTCAGCTGCTGCCCTTGACAGCGAGTGCCAGTCACCCGGCCCCAGTTGAGGCAAGGCTCAATTCTCCCCAGCCCAGAGAAGACAGGACTTCAGAGATAACGTGGAGAGGAATATATTTTAGGAGAGTTTCAACCGTGGTCAAGATCACCAACAAATGCGCTGAACACAACCACTCACCAAACGTATACATGAAAGTTAAATGGCCAACAAAGAAGCCCCCGGGCTGCACATGAGACTGAGAACGCAACACACACTGGAACCAGAGAGAATGCCCACTCCACAGACTGAGCACGAAGCTGGCCGTGTCCGGCTCCTCTACGGGATCTTCTGGGGCCACCAACCTTGAGTGGAGCTCTTTTGCAATGCAAATGTCCAGCAGAAGCAGGTGGCAGGAGGGGCCTGGGGAGCAAGCAGGCTGCAGGAGCCCTTCCGGCGACAACAGCCAAGGTGGCAGGGAGGTGAGGCCAGCATCGCCATTCCTGCCAAGGCCCCCTGTGGGGACAGCAGAGCTGATGTGGCTGAGAAAAAGTCCTCACCCTGCAAGAAGAGGGGCTACAAAGAGGGGCAAAAATCCAATACCGTTTCTGGTTGGGCTGCTTCACTCTGACCCAACTCACTGAGCAAAATCCAGTGGATCAACAAATCTCCACCAGGGAGAGAAATCCATTGTGTTGCCACAACTTGCAGGTTAATCTGTCCATTGGCAAGTTTGCAGGCCAGGCAGGGGTCAAAGGAAGAACGGCTTCCCTCCTTGTCCTTGCTGGGGGAAGAGTGGCCTGGCAACAGGGCTGTCCGCTTGGGAGGGTCTACACTGCCATTGGAAAGACCTTCTGCCCTCCGAGGGGTGCAGCTTGTAACAGGGAGGCTCAGGAGAGCCGAGTGAGAGTTAAGCACTGGGCTAACCTGAAAGGAGACACCCGGCATCTCTACAGCTGTCTCGAGTCGCCACCTGGCACAGGGCGACCCGTCCTCTCTGGCGTCTGGGGGGGGCACCCAAATGGGTGCAGAGGAGGCTCCAGGCTGCAAGCAGAGAAGCTGAGCTGCTCCTTCCCCAACTGGCAGTAGAAGAGCGCCCCCTGGTGGGAAGAAGTCTGCATTTTGGCCAAACAAAGAAAAACTCAGGAAAAGGGTCCAATTGACTGCAATGATACGCAACATGGGAACGTCACGTCACAACCAACTCACAAAATGGAATCCAGCTTCGATATTGAGAATCTGGGCTTCCTTTTCTCCCGGACCACTTAATTTTGTTTATACCGGCGTGGGGAGGGGGCAAGACTTCCAGAGAGTCCCTACTGCTTTTCTGTGATTCTGCAGCTCTGGCTCTTTTTTAATGCCAGGGAAGGGGAGGGCATGCTTCTCCAGGCAGGGCTAGCCCCAGGGGGGAGCATGTCCCTATTCAGCTACTGGCATATTCCACCTCATGCAACCCCCCCCCCCAGCCCTTGAGGGCTCTCCTCTCCTCTCCTGCTCCCCACTTCCCTTCTTGCATTGAGGAATTCTGCAGAATTCAAAATTTTACACCCATTTGGCTGATTGGAACAAATGCAACCAGGGACCTTTCTTTCACCCAGGCCAAACCAGCTTTTAAAAAGCCTCTTCCATGCAGGAGCCTTTAGAAAAGCGCAGCCTCAAAAGTCATCTCCCATCTCTTCTCTTCCAAACCTCCTCCTCTTCAGAGTTTCAGTTTCTGCGAGAGAAGAATAGAACACTCTACTTCTCGTCTTCTTTCAAATAACCTCAAGGCAGGAAGTCAGAGAGCGACATTGGCGAGTGATTCTAGAGACGGTGCTAGCAAAATGACTAGCCGATCCTGAATTCTGATTTTTGGTACCTTAATTGCAGCAGAATAGTAATTTCCAATATTCATATAAAGGATTTTTTTAAAAAAAGTTTCTATTACAAACAATGCAGCCATCTACTGAAGTACAATCTACAGACTAAAAAACAGCCTTCGGAGAAACAAAAATAGCAGCAGTTATATGGCCTGTTTAATGCAGCCCTGTTTAGTCCCTTAAAAAAAGAAAGGAGATTCCAAAGTCTGTGCCTGCATCCCGTTTGGGGGGGGGGGTGGAGTCGCTGATCCTGGGCGTTTCCTAACACAGCACGCAGAGTCGTGCTCATCAAAAGGATTCAAGTTTCCCTCGTGGAAATGTGCCTTTAGAAAGCAAACCAGAACATGGAGACAGGAAAGTCAAACATAAAAGTCACTCTTGAAACTATATATAAAATTTGTGTTTAAGCAGCACATCAGTATCTGCTGAGGTTTTGCCTTTTTTCTGGTGTAACTAACCACAAAGTTAGCTTGTGTCCATTTTTTTAATAAGTCAAATGCTACTACCGACAATGTAATAAAACTAGAACCCACAAAAAAAATTTGAAAAGTGCACAATGAAATCAAGAGTCTCGGATCAAGTATCTGTGGAGAACTGGAAATGTTTTGTCCATTGGACTTGATATGCACAGGGCGGAGAGAAGCATTAAAGTTTCTCGGATCCAGACTTAGCCTGGCGGTCCACATAGAAGAGGATGTAGGCCTTGGCTTTCGAGACTGTCTCCTCGTCCGTCAGTGTCACCGTGCTGTCGTTGAAATGGAACCAGCACCCTTCGTGAGTCGCGTATGCCGTGTAATGCCCAGAACCGACCCTGGAAATGCCAGCACCCAAAGTGTGAAAGGGAGGCCCCTTGGGCTGTGTCTGGAGCAAGTGGGCGGCTCGAGAAGGCAGCGGCCACACAAAGCCGGCCATCCAAGGTGGCCCCTTGCGCCAAGACTTTCCTCCCGCACTCGTCATCAATGCTCCCACGGGCTGAACCCTTCCAGTTCCTTGACACCTGTTCACAGAGAAGGCCCACCGAGGTGGCCACTCTGGGAAGGGAGGGAAGGCCACAAGGAAGCCACACCAGTTCTCGGGTGCCCTGCAAGGCCTTGGGAGCCCCTGTCCACCCTCCCTGCCACTCGAGGAGCTGATGCTTCTCTTTGCCCACCTCCCCGTCACATGTCACTGCATGCCAGGTTTTCAGAAGTCTAGGCCCCAACCCAGATCTTGCCAAGTACTCACCCTGACCCATGGTGCACAACCACTGCCGCAAGATCATAGAGGCAACTGTCTGGGCCGCTGTTTTCAGGCTGCACAAAGGGGGGGGGAGGAAGCCAAAGAAACTGAGTGCCCTGAAGCCTGGGCCCGTCCGCTCCCTCCTCTTCCCAGTCACGGGTGCTCTACCTCCAGCAAGTAGCACTTCATGTCCAGGCTGCACAGGGGGAACTCGACAAAGGTGTCCACCTTGTTCCTCAGGTAGGCCGTCCAGTGAAAGCGTTTCAGGTGCAGGCACAGCACCTGGGCATTAAAGGGACACACGGCACAAAAAGCCCTTAAGGGCTGCATTTGTCAAAACCCTAAAATTAAAGCCCAGTTTTGCAGCAGCTTTGGCCACAAGAGCACAGAAACACATTATTTCTGTGAGAGAGTAGAAGAATTTCATAATAACAGCAATTATTTATTTAATATATTTATATACCCCTTCCTATGAAATCTAAAGCAGCACACAAAATCTCACAGACATGCCAACAAAAGTACTGGAGTAAATGTCCTTTAGATGTCAAGATGTTCATTCACAGGTTTTATAAGACACCACATGAAAGCTCAAAAAACGGCTTTCATGCCTGGGTCCCTCCACAATGTTCACTAGAAGACATTACCAAGAACCTACAACTTGTCTTTGTGTACAACCCCCCCCCCCATTTTTACCAAGTGGCACTCACTTTGGGCAGCTTCTGCATCCAGAACTTCTTAGTTGACTTCTGTTTCTTCTTACATTTGTGACACATGTAAAGCTCCGAGTCATCAAGTTCTTCCAGGTCGGTGAAGCTACGGAGACAATCTGGAGCAGAGTTCAATGAAGAGGGTGAGTATCATTCACTCTTCAATAAAAAAAGACTAACGACAGAGACTGGCTAGCCGCTCCCTGAGAACGTACCCCGTAACGTGCAGATTGGTCCGTTCTCTTGGTTCTTGCTACGTTTGTTCCGGAACTGACTTGGAATATCTAGTGAGAGGTCTAAAAGCAAAGGCCTCGTGGTCAAAGTTACAAAGGAAACATTCCTTAAATACTTTCAAGCTGGGCATATTTTTAAACCCTTTACCTAGGAATGGATCAAACTTTCTGGATTCCGTGCCACATATCAAGCAGTTGACTTCATTCTGAAGGACACCTCCAAAGATAGTTGTGACAACGGTAGAAGTGCCGTTACTGAACAAAAAATGGGGAGAGGACTGTCAGGGCAGCAGGTTCCTCACCATGCCTTGTGCCCAGAATGTCTAATTATCCTATTGTTGTTCGAGCATTTCACCTTTCTACAAAACCAACCACGGGCAGAAAGAGGTAGGAGATGTGTGCTAAGTCACCACCCTTGCCCTTTCCTGCCCTCCTCCAGAGGACTGACGGACACCTTCTCTTTCTGCTCAGCAAGTCTGCCCACACAAGTTGCCCTCCATCACCGATGTGCCTCTATTGTGGGAGACAACCAGACGCTGAAAATGACCCCAGCCACCAAGTCCAAGCGAAGCCACAAAAGGATTCACTTACACGCAGCACCTGCTGCCGGCAGTGAGGCCAGAATCCTCCTGAGTGAAGACGGGGTGGGCAGCACCGTTGACCCCTTCCTGCAGCTCCAGGTGCAGATGGTCCAAGAGGTAGCGCATGAACTCATGGGCATCTTGCTGCTGGTAGCCCCTTAACAAAAGCAAACCTAGGAATCGACAGACTGACCACCAGCTCCTGCGCCCGCTGCACACAAGGAAGGTGGCAAGGCCAAGCTCCCGAAGGCCCGGGGCGAGCACAAGGAAGGAGACTTCTAAAGCTCAGACCACAGGAAGGACTTTTAAAGCTCTTCTTGGGAAGTTCTTCACTATTCAAGGAAAGAATCTTTCTAATGTGCAAACACAGACGTTCAAACTTCAGGGCACTATGCGATATACACGTTGTGCCTGAATGCACACGTGCAGGATGGGGACAGACTCTGTGTTTGTGTGTGAACAAAGCCTCTCAGGAAACCAAAGAAACAAAAGAGCTTCTCCACACTCAAGCCTTACACTGGCTGGAAGGGAAAAAGTTGAGCAGTAACCAGAAAGCAAAAAGATTAACAGATGTTTCTCTTCAAGGAAGGCCAGCCAGGAGATGGAGATGTTTAATCTATGCAGAGTGAAAAAGGACACCTTGTTTCCCTTAATCCAGATATTTTACTTTCAAGACAAAGAAAGGTGCATTTTAAAAAGAACCACTTCACCTAGTAGGCATCCTTCTCCAGAAAAAGCTTGAGGTACTGAAATATTTGTATTATCAATTTTGCAATGCATTGGGTTTTTAAAAACTATCCCGATCAGAGAGACAACCTGCCACGTCTTCCTGGGACACACAGTCCACTGGGACCATTTTCCCCAGCAGGACCCCTTCCAGAGTTCAAGGCGTCGGGCAACATTAGAGAAGGAAGGGCTGAGTTCTCAGTTGATGGGCTTGGAAATGGTTGGGGGGCTCAGGAGGCCCCAGAGAAGCTCCCTCCCACACCCCTCCTTGCCCTGGGACAGACAAGGTGACCTTAGCCTTCACAACCCCACCCTTGGCCGAAACTACACTACACTTCATTTTCTCCAAATCCCTCACTCATTTTGCAGTTCTGCAGGAGCTTTCTGTTAAACGCAGAGGAAGCCCCAGTGATGAAAAATCTGCTTGAGGGCGGGACTTGTGCTTTGCCCTCCGCCAGTTTGGGAGGGGGGGGGATTTTGGCCAAAGGCAAAACAAGACCAGGGCTTTGCTCTCCATCTGAAACAACCCATGCTAAACTTCCTTGATTCTCATGGGGGAGGGGATGTGCAAAGGGCAAGTGGGAGAGGAGGCTGAGAGCTGACACCGTCTCCCTCACACCGCAGGTATCCAGAGCAACCTTCCAGCACTGCCAATGGCATTAACACATCAACAGAACATCTTTACTAGCTGAAAATATGGAGTAACTTACCTTTCTGCCCAATTAATCCTAATATTGTTCAAGGTTCCTTTGAAAGAGGTTCAGGGGCCAAGACAGGGAGACCTTGGAGAGGAATGACACTTAGATTTACTGCTGTGAACTAATCGTCTCTTTTGACAGCCTGGGTGGAAAATGCTTCCTGCACCCAAGAATCAGCCTTTTTGCTGCCTTCGTTCAGCGTTACAGAATCTAGTTTAATGTGGAGAGAATCAAGGAAGTTTTGCCTTCTGGGTTTTGCTTCAGCCTTCTGGGACCTAGCATGCCCAAAGCAGAGCTCTGGGACTGGCTGGGATGCTCAACTGCAGCACGTCACTCGGCCTCAGGAACAAGGAAAGCTACTCTTAGCACCTCTCCTTCCGTTTGGGGGAAGATCAAAGCCTTCGAGCTGTCCTCCAAACAAGGCCAACACAAAGCTGCTCCTTTCAGAGACAGCAACTGATTCTCCAGAAATAGACTTACCTGAAGTTGGGCATGATTTTCCAAACAACGTAAAACAAGGATTCAGGGCTGAAGGCGGTTTGACTTCCTTGCCACAAAGCACACAGGGTCTTCCGGAATTCCTCCACCAAGGAACTGCAGAAGGAAAGAGATATTTATTCTTAGAAAGAAAACAACACTCTCACTACATTTGTGGCCAACTAACCACGGAGGATTTT